GTGCTTCACAGGAGCAACAATCAGTCAATTAACCTGGAATGCCTGAACATTAGGTGGGAAAAAGCAAGGATAAACACCTCTTTAAAGGAAAACAGCAACTACAATAAAGCAAGATAAAAACTACCCTGGGCAGGGCAGGCACCACTAGGCCATCACTTCCCAAGATTCAAGCTCTTTGCCATATGAGAAGCAACATAATTAAGCCCCAAAACACAGCTCTGCCTCCTGTAAAAACAATTCAGTACACACAACACCAGCCGTGGAAGGGAAGAAAGTACATTTTGTGATGAGATCACCCCCATCTCCCCAGCATGCTAGAAACAAAGCCATGACCAGTGAGGAGCTGGTGACAGCAAGCATATTCACAGGCACCAGAACTGCCAACCCTCGGTTTCTGAGCAGCGATTTCATTTCCTAATCTGTTGGAGGGGGCTGAAAGAAACCAACCAGAAAATAAATACCGACAAATCACAACGTGCCTCACAACCTTGCCCCTGAAACTCCGAAATGAAACCTCGCYGTAGATTGGCTCCTGCCTGCATGTAGGCAGTGGCATGTACCACTGCACAACGCCAAGCTCCACCTCTGCTATGTAAACAATATCCTCAATTTAAACCACCGCTTGTGTTTTTGTTAGTCTGATGTAAAGAAATTAAAGGCCCTTTTTAAAGTAACTCCAGTGGCCAGAGACGGAATGGTACTGGAAGATGAAGCTTTGGGCCTACTCTTAAAGGTAGAGTCGAACATCAATGATATTACCGTAAATAAAAGGGTTTTTTTAAAAGAGAAAAGTCTCACCAATTCTTCATAACTTCTATAATGCTCATTTCCTTGCCAATCCAACCTTTTAGGAAGCAACTAAATAAAGAAAAAAAACAAAAACGTGAGCGGTTAAAGGGTAAAGGAGGGATTACAGACCACATCCAAAACAATGTGTGCTGAGAGGGGAAAAGTTGAGACAGCGGCAGAAACTTGAATGACTTGCAAAGGAAACTTTTGACTACAGCAAGATTTCATCAGAGCCCACACAGACCTGGTGCTGCTCCAGCTCCTGCACCAGCACCTGCAGAGGGAAGGAAAAAAACACAGAGTGAGGGACAAGCCACGATCTGGCTTCTTCAGAGCGGGGGGCGCGGCTGCTCCCACCTCCCCACGACCCTGCGCGGGCAGCGCGGGGTCCCCGCGCCCCGGTGAGCCGCGGACTCACCTTCAGCGCTCTCCTGCAGGGCCCGGTGCTCAGGAACCGGGCGATGAGGAAGTAAAGCTCTGTAAGAGACACGGGCACAGAGACGGAGGTTGAGCCGGGGGGCGGCCGGGACCCATCCCGAGGGGGGGGCAGGAAGATGGCGGCACCGGCGGCACCTCCTCACCCCGGCCCGCGGTGTTACCTGATTCAATGAGCGGCACCGACGCGCCGGAGCTGGAAGAGGCCGCAGGCTCGGCCATGGCGGGCTGAGGGCGGCGGGCCCGGCTCGGCACGGCGCTGTCAGCGCCTCCCCTCACTCCCTCCCCTCACGGCCGCCCCCCCGCTCCCCTCAGCGCTCCCTCCCTCCCTCTCCCCCCTCAGCGCAGCCTCGCCGGCGCCGCCGCCATCGCGCCGCACCACCCTTCACGGCGCCGCCGCGAACACCTCCGCCGGGAGCGCCCGTGGGGGGGCGGCGGAAAATAGTGCCCACGGGACCGGGCGCACCGGGCACGCCGGGGGAACAGCAGTGCGGGCGTGTGGCCGCAGGAGATATACGCGGGAGGCGGCGGGGCGGGCGACGGGGGGGGATGGCGGGGAAGGCGCCCCGTGAGGAGAAGGGGAGGAGAAGGCGCGGAGGGATCGCGCGGAGAAGGCGGCGGTGACGCGCACGGAGGGCGGGGTTGAGCGCGGTGAGGCGGYGGCGCTGAGGGGCGGCGGGGAAGAGGTGGCGGGGGAGCGGTGGCGGCCGTGGAGCTGCTCCGGTCGCCCCCGGGAACTGCGYTGCTGCCGCCGCTAACGCCTTGACCCTCTCAGCCCGGGAGAGCCCTCCCTAGGAACCGCAGCCAGGCACCGAGAGCTGGTTCCAGAGGGCGATGCGGTGACGGAGCGGACGCCGTGTGCCGCCAGGCCAAGGCCTTTKCTTCGAGTGTCGTGTTCATTTCTKGGCCCCTCACTGCAGGGAGGATATTGGGGGGTTGCAGCGTATCCAGCGAAGGGAACGGAGCTGGGAAGGGGCTGGAGCCCCAGGAGCGGCTGAGGGAGCTGGGAAAGGGGCTSAGCCTGGAGCAAAGGAGGCTCCGGGGGGACCTTGTGGCTCTGCACAACTCCCTGACAGGAGGGGGCAGCCGGGGGGTCGGGCTCTGCTCCAGGGAACAGGGACAGGAGGAGAGGGAACGGCCTCAGGCTGGGCCAGGGGAGGCTCAGGGTGGACACCAGGAGGATTTTTTTCGGTGAAAGTGTGATTAAATATTGGCAGGGGCTGCTCAGGGAGCTTTGGAGTCCCCATTTCTGGAGGTGTTTAGGGAAGGACTATATGCTCTGGTTGACAAGGTGGCCATCGGTAAAAGGTTGAACTCGACCACGGAAGGGTTTCCAATCAAATTAATTCTGTGATGTGATTCAAAGTGCAGTCTCCCGGTGTTTCCCACGCCAGCAGAAGCTGGAAGCATTGGTGCTGCGTCCGTGTTGGAGCTTGGGGGTGGCACAGCCTCCTGCGTGACAGCAGAGCTCTGTGGGTTTTGGGGGGATCTTGGCTACCCCAGACACCAGCTTGGGGATGGGCACTTYCCACATCACACAGGCAGCACTGCTTCCCTGGCATCAGTGATGCAAAAAAGGTAGCTCTGCCCCTGTCTGTGCCACCTCGAGCCTGGCTCCTGGAGAGAGGATTTTGGGAGCCAGGACATTGACCTGTTGGAGGGAGTCCAGAGAAGGCACCAGGACGATCAGAGGGATAAAGCAGCTCTGCTGGCAGAGCTGGGATTGTTCAGCCTGGAGAGAAACTTTGGGGTGACCTMATTGTGGCCTTGCAGGGCCTGAAGGGGCCAACAAGAAAGGGCTGGAATGACAGGACAAGGGGAAATGGGTGCAAACAGAATAGGTTTAGATGGGATATTGGGCASGAATTGTTCCCTGGGAGGGTGGGCAGGCCTGGGCACAGGGTGCCCAGAGAAGCTGTGGCTGCCCCTGGATCCCTGGCAGGCTGGACATTGGGACTGGGAGCAGCTTGGGACAGTGGGAGGTGTCCCTGCCCATGGCAAGGGTGGGACTGGATGATCTTTAAGGTCCCTTCCAATCCAAATTATTCTATGATTTATCTTTTTTTTTTCCTTCTCAGTTGTTTCTCACCCATGCCTAGCGTGAACTGTGATAGAAACAGCAATGCCTCTACTTGTGTATTAYTTTAAATCCAAGCTGTTCTTTCCATATTTTGCTTCTCACCTGTGGTGCCTTGGAATGCATTTTTAAAACATTTAAAGTAAAATATTTTAATATAGCATTCCCTTTACCCWAACAACTACTAGCAGTATACAAAGACAAGAGAGTAGCTTCCGAGAAACATGTTTTATTCTCTTCCTGTTGTATTTTGAGTTAGGTTGTGCTCCATTGGATGCAAATCTGCATCAGCTCTCACTGGAGTCTTTAGCTGCAGAGCAAATACATCTGGTACCACACAGGACTGAGTAACATCAGGGACAAGTTACAGTAAATTAAGCAATGGGTAATAGATGTTTGGGAAATGCTGAAAGTCCATGGGTTCGCACCAAAACACATGAAAAACAGGCTTTCTGTAAAAGCGCGGAAGAGTGGTTACTTGGGGATATTTACCTGGAAGATCACTGTATTTAATCAGGGGTCTAGCTTGCCAAATTTAGAGAGTAAAATAATATGGAGCTACACTGTTACTATTAAATTAAACCAACAAGTATGGTACCTGGAAGGGGATGTTGGGGGGAGTTAGAAAAGTRGCATAAATTTCCAGTTTTGAAATTTCCAAGAACTTAGAGCCAAAGTCATGTGTGCTCWGAGGAACATGCCTGTGATGGAATGGACCAGGAGCAAGTTGTGGTCTAAGGTTGGAAGACTTCCTATGGAAAATTTGAATTGCTTAAATATTGAAGAGGTAAAAATGATACTTTCTGAAATGAAATTATTAAGAAAGCAAGTTAGAGGYGAAACTATAGKKYTTTTTTTTTTTTTAGAAACYGCTAGAGCAATCTGAAAAAGGCACTAAAAATGAACAGGAAGYAGATATTGGGTGTGCAGGTGTTACTTAAGAGCATAAACAAGTTCTGGGGTGAGGAAAAAAAAGAAAAGAACAAACGTTACTGTTTGATCTTGGCTCCTCCCATGACAAGGTGACAGTTGTCTTGCTGGCATCTGACRCTAACTAATAATTGACTTTTTCAAAAAGCAAATAGCAGCACAAAGCTTTCAGCTTTCCAATTGCAAGTTTAGATTAACACTCCAATTCTCCACTCCCTGAATTACCACCCATCTCTTAAAAAGTACATTTTTAACACCCTGAAGGACAGTTAGAAATCCAAACCACACCACTTAGATTGAATTGTTACAGTCAATGAAGGAGCTGCAGAAAATCCTTTCATAATCAAAGTTTATTTGGCTTTTGTTTGGTGATCACAAACACTATCAACAATTTTACAATTGGTTTTAGAACTTTTTTCCATCTAAAAACTAATTGTTTGTTTTTCCTAGCACTATTTCAAATATTTTTCACTCACTCTTTGTAGACAAGCTGTCTTTTAAAACTAGATGTGAAGTTCCAGTATCTCAAATACTGACATAACAAGTTCCATTTGCCAAGCAGAAACTTTTACTTAGACAGTATTTAAAAATACAAAATAAAAGTTTCCAATCTTTTGCATCACAGCTACAAAGTTCTTGGAAAAAAAATAAAGTTGCAACTACCAAAAATAACTTTGTCACTGATGTACATCACTCAGCAAGAAATCCAACACTAGGGAGCAGTTTTATTAGAYAAGCAATTCTACTGATGGTACAACCATAGATAAAGATAAATAACTAAAATGTTAAGACATTCTCAACACATCATTACAAATTCCAAAGTCTGATCTGTGTTATGCTTCCTGTTACGGCATAGAAAACTGTCCCTCAGAGACTGTGGAACATGAGGCCTAATCAAAGCCTCAAAACCTCTCCTTAAAATTAACACACCACTAATTTCTGGTTTCATAGAAAACAGACAACCAGTACATGATTTTACCACTTTWAAAAAAGCATTTACACTTATCTAAATATGTAAAAAAATGGGTTGAGYTGGGATTCTCTCCTTTTTAAAAATGTGTTTTCTAGAACTACTAAAAAACTTGCATTTACAAAATAGTYGATAAAAATATTCCTCTGAATTGTACAAGAAGAAAGGTTTAAGGACCACCAGTTACAGATGGGGGACCAGGTGTCACTCAGACTTCACTTCTTTCTCTGCAGCTGCATCAGGTGCTGGGGTCTGGAAAGGGAAGAAAAATACTTCAATGTAAGAAGTTTTTGATGGCTCAGACTTAAGAGTGTTTTAATGCACAAAATGACACACAGGACAACCCTGACTTTCCTGCGGATTTCTCTTGATTGTGACCTAAATAACAAAAAAGGCTCCTTGGATCCATCCAATGAAATCCAATTTATGGATTGCAGGATGTTGATTTGTTACTAAACACACACTGCAAAAGACTTTAATTGGAATTACTGCCTTTATGACAGGAGAAGCTTTAGCTTTTACACAGCTACAACGGCTCCATATGGGGTGTTTAGAAATACACAGGAGACGTGCTTCATGCCTTTGCTTTGTGTGGCACTGAAGTTTATTCTCAAATCTTAACCCTGTTTTAAGACTTGGAAACAGGAAACAGTAACATCCAACAGGACAGACTCTACCTCTTCCTCTTCTAGACTTCAGTATACTACACCCAAAATTTTGTGTGATGGGACCCCCACAACTTCAGACTTAAGATGAGCCCCAGAAATCATCATCCATTCGTAGCAAATTTACAGAATCTCTGCACCAGTGAAGTAAAGAGACCCCAGATGAGAATGCTGCCAAATTTGGTTTCATTGCTGATGTACTACAAGCACAAATTAAAAGAACAAATTGTGTGACTGTAACAATGCCAAAAATTTTATCAACTGAAGAACTCATAGCACAATTTTTTCACACTATAAGTTTGCAAACTGTTACCCCAGAGTAGATCATCTTGTTCACTGAATTATCATCCTGTACCTTCCTTGCCCACCAAACCCAGTCATCTACGTAAAAACAAAATATCCTACTGAAMTGAAAATGAGTGAGATATTCACTATCACAGGTACCCAAGACCAGTTCTAGGCCTGTTACTATGTGTTTCATCGAGTTTTTAGCAGCTGCCCTAGTAACAAGCACTGTTTTTCCCTAGAGATCTTGTCCTAAATTTGTAATTCAATTATGTCTGCATTCCAGAAAAATAATACAGAGTTACGAGGATGTTCTAAGTCATCTCCAAAAAGTTCACCCACAGGACCACTTTGGCACTGTGGTGCAGCCAAGACTGACCTGGCACAGTCACTTCTCCAACAAGAACAACTCATTCATAGTTGTACTTCATTCCTGCACCAACCTGTCCCTTCTCCCAGCAGTGTCTGTGAATGTTACCTCAACTTTGATCATTATTTCAACTCTGGGTTTTCAGTGAAAATTCTTTCCATCCTCAAGAAAAAGAGTATTTGTCAAAAATCTTTTGTAGCAAGAAAATCTYAGTAACAGCAAAGGCAGGCTAAAACCCACACCCAGCTCTCCAAACTTCACCTCCTCAGTTTTAGCTTCCCCATTTTCTGCAGGCAGGTTGTCCTTTGTCTGTTCTTGGTTGGTCTCTTCTGTCTGTTTTCCTTTGGGCCCTTTCTTCCCCTTTGACTGAGTYTTCTTGTCCTCAGATTTATCCTACAATGAAATACATTTCCAGTAAATAAATTGTTATGACCTACCAGGAAAACTATAAAATTAATAAAAGGCACAGAAAACCAAGATGGATATACTAAACTACCAACAACCCCTGATCTCCCTATTTACAAATTATTTCAGAATTACATAATTGCAACACATTGATCTCTGTACTTCATCAATATTTATTTTTCTTCAGTAATAGTTACTAAAAAAGTCCACCAAGTAACTTCATAATAAGCAAACTACTTCCAACTAGAAATAACATTGTGAGGAAAATTTTGAAAAGCGTCCAAGTTGATGAAAAAAAGGGGGTTTTGAAAAAAAGGGTTATGACTGTTAATTAATAGCTTAAAATAGTTATAAGCAGAAAACCGTGTTAAGCAACATCAGTGAGCAGCAGTAAGTGTAGATGCATCACTGACACTGCAAAAAAAAAAGGAAATTATAACTCAGTAGCATTGGAAAGCTTCCCCAAATTCTTTAAGCTTACAGCATTAAGAGTGGGAACRCACTGATACTCAAACCATTGGAATGAAGGTGCATTCCTCATCAGTAACTGCTCAACAGGATTAATACAATGAAAACATCAGAAAGTCTGCAAAGCAGAGCTCTGCATTAGATTATCTGRTAYCAGAGAATTACAAAGTGGGTTGGATTGGAAGGGACAGTAAAGCCCATCCAGTGCCACCCCTGCCATGGCAGGGACACCTCCCACTGTCCCAGGCTGCTCCCAGCCCCAATGTCCAGCCTGGCCTTGGGCACTCAAAGGGAYCCAGGGGCAGCCACAGCTTCTCTGGGCACCCTGTGCCAGGGTCTGCCCACCCTCCCAGGGAACAATTCCTGCCCAATATCCCATCTGGCCCTGCCCTCTGGCACTGGGAAGCCATTTCCTGGCTCCTGTTCCTCCATCCCTTGGAAATTGTCTCTCTCCATTTTTCTTATTAACTCCCTTCAGATACTGAAAGGCCACAATTAGGTCATCCCCAAGCTCTTAATTCAGAAATCACCAAGAAAAGTTTATGATGACAAAGGTACACTTTAACAACAGACACACAGTAGCAAGCCAACAGACACACAACCAATTTCAATTCTCTCAAAACCCAGAGAATTTTACACCTCAGTTATTGGCACTGTGAAGGCTGTGCTGAAAAATTTAAAGATTACACAAGCCAACACTTTCTCTCTCTCTCTCTCACACACACACACACACACACACACACACATAAATGCCTGAAAGCTTGACCACATGAATGGGAACTCAAATAGTTTCAAGTGGCTAATATGTTTTCTTTTCCCCCTGTCCCAACATGCTGATTTCAAATGCATGTATATTTATCCCCTCTTGTTACAGTGATGAAGTACAATCCTCTTCAGAGTCACGGAACCATTCYGTTTGGGAAAAGACCTCCAAGATAYTGGAGTCCAACTTTAACTGAGTGCCACCCTGTCAACCAGAGCAGAGCAATCAAACAAATCCACCCGTTCCCTGAACACCTCCAGGGATGGTGACTCCACCACCTCCCTGTTCATTCCAGCCCTTGGCAAGCCTTTCTGTGAAGAAATTCCTCCTGATGTCCTAATGCTCAGTTGCTTTGACAGTCAAATAGTTCCACCCAGTACCAAACCACAATCTACCACGCATGGATCCGTGCCCACATTTCCATGCAATGCCCGGAGCTTAACAAGGATCTACACACAGTGATGGAATGTACCTGTAAACACTGGCAAAAGCACATTAAAACAATACTTCAGCCAAGTGAGTGTTCCCACAAGGAATAAAACCATTCCAACAAAGTGCGCGGAGGTCACAGCGCGGGATACCCCCGGGCGCCACCACCACTCCCTCCACTTTTCCAATTCACTCTCACCTTTGCCGGTAACTTTTTAGGTTTCGGCTCTGCTTTGGCAGGCGCGGGTTTCTGAGGAGAGAGAAAAGATCAGGCGGGCATCCAGCGCTCGGTAATCCCTCCCGGACACGGCTCCCCGCCCATCCCGGCAGGGCCCCGCCGCTCGGCACTTACCGCGGAGAGCCGCGCCGATCGCCGCTTGGGCTGCAGGAGGGGAGAGAGAGACAGACACAGAAGGACGTGAGGGGCGGGCGGGTCGGGGCCGCGGCCAGCCCCGCCTGCCCTGCCCGCTCCTTACCTCCTCGGGGGCGTCCCCGTCCGCCACCGTCACCTGCAACACACACGGCGCGTCAGTGGAGCGGGGCGGGACCGGCCTCTCACCGCCCCCCGCCCGCCCCTTCCCGCCGCCGCTGCCGGACCGCGAGTCCCGCCGAGCCCCCCCGAGCCTCGCACACCCCCCAGCCCCCTCCCCGACCCGCGGAGCCGCCCGGCACAAGGAAAGRGCGCCGGCCCCCTGTACCGCCCGCGGCCGCGGAGCCCTCGGCGCGGCCGCTGCCCCCCGAGCCCCGTCTCCGCACGCCCCCRCCCGTCTTCTCCCGGCGGCTCCGCTCGCTGCCGCCCGCCTTCACCTTCCTCTTCGGCATCTCGAGGCTCCCGGCCGCGACCCCCGCGGCTGCGGCTCCCTGTGCGCGGCTGCTGCGAGCGCTGCTGCGGCTGCCTGCGAGCCAAAGCCAGGCTGCGCAGGGAAGCCTCTCCCCCCTCCCCATCCCAGCAGCGCCAGCGGCGCCGCAACAGGATCCAGCCGGATTGGCGCGGGGGGAGCGGCGCGCGGGGCGGGGCCGGGCGCGCTCCGCCTCCCGCCGAGCGCACCGCCTCCTCATTGGCCAGCGCGGGTCACGTGGTGCGCGTGTCCCCGCGTCCCCTCGCACGGGCGCTCGCGCCGCTCCGCCCGGGCCCGGTCCGGTCCGGTCCCCATCCCCATCCCGATCCCATCCCCATCCCGATCCCATCCCGATCCCCATCCCGATCCCCGGGCCCGCTACTGCCGCTGGCGGCCTCGATGGCGGAAAGCGGCGCCTGGCTGCTGGTGCTCAGCGCCGTGTTCCTCTGCAACGCGCTCAAGATCCTCCTGCCCTCCTGCTCCTCCATCGTGAGTGATGGCACCGCGCCCGCCCCGCGCCCGGCGGGGAGGGGGAAGCGGGAGGGGGGCGCGGACCGGAGGGGATCCCGGGTCGGGGGGGATGTCTCCGGCAGCTGAGCGATGGGGGAACTGCGCGGGGAGCGGTGCYGGTTCGGGACGGCTCCCGCTGTCCCTTCCGCACCCCCGGCTCTGACGGGCAGGCTCTGGTCCTGCTCTTGGCCTTGGGAGAAGAGATGCTCACGCTGGAGGTGGTGGGACCCAGCCCCGGGGCCGGGTGGCTCCCGAAGTCCCTCCCGAAGTCCCCGTTACAGCGGGCGTTGAAGTCGAGATCTGGGGGAGGAGARTCGGTGTGTTAAATGATGCTCCTGAGCCCTTAGGATGGATCACGGAATCATGGAATGGTTTGGGCTGGAAGAGACCTTAAARGTCATCCAGTTCCAYCCCCTGGTASGGGCAGGGAACCTTCCACTAGGCCTKGTTAACCAGAACCCCATCCAGCCCAGCCTTGGACACCTCCTGGGATGSAGCATCCACAGCTTCTCAGTTTTCGGGAATATAAAGGACAGCTTTGCTCAGTCTTGCATGTTTTCAACAGATGGACATCCCCATTGTTGAGATGGGAGATTAGTGGATACRGAGATTAAGGAGTTGAGCCATTGTAAGAGTAAACCTTAAGTCTCAATCGCTAATCAGCATGCCTGTGTTCTGATCTGAAGCATTCCTGTGGAAGTGTGGATAATGGAATTAAGGACAAATAAACTCTGTGTCTGTGTACAAAGATGCTGAAATCCCCATCACTTTCCTCTTCCATGGCACTGGCATAGAGATCAGTGTGCACTGTTTAATAATGGGCAGAAATCCTTCAAAACCTAAATTACCCTCATCAATGTGGGAAGCTGAACTTGGTGTTACTGGAGATGAGTGATGCAAGAGCCATATGAGGTGAGGCTGAGGGGGGTTGGTTTGTTCATCCCGGAGGAGACTGAGACTGGGGTYTGCAGCTCCTCCTGRGGGGCAGTGCAGGGGCTCCCTGGGACAGAGACAGAGCCAGGGAGCGGCTGRAGCTRGGCCAGGGCAGGCTCAGGCTGGAGAGCAGGGAAAGGTTCTTCTGTCCCCAGAGGGTGCTGGCACTGCCCAGGCTMCYCAGGGAACGGGCACRGCCCCGAGGCTGCCAGAGCTCCAGGAGCGTTTGGACAGCGCTGCCAGGGATGCACAGGCTGGGATTGCTGGGGGGCTGRGCAGGGACAGGAGCTGGAATTTGATGATYTTGGTGGGTCCCTTGCGACTCAGGATAYTCTATGATTCTATGAAGATCTCTGCTCAGCTTTTTGCTTTGGTTCATTTTGGTTAATGCTCTCACTGACTGCTGGCCTGAGAACAGCATCCACAGGGAACAAATTACATGTTCTTGGGAAAGTTGGAAAGATTTGCTAAGGAACAGCAAGAAAAAGATTTTGTGTCCTTTGTGCCCTCAGTTTTTGGCAAATCGAGTTCATGAACTAACAAGCAGGTGGTGCTTCAAGAAAAGAAATCAGGAAAGTAAAAGAAGGGGAGAAAACATTGGAATATGTGGCTGCTGGAGCTGGAAATGGGAGTGACCACAGAATCATTTAGGTTGGAGAAGGCCTTCAAGATCATTGAGTTGAGGCTGAGGCTGTTTCCTCTTGTCTTGTCACTTGTTCCCTTGTKTTTCAAGGATTCCCTGCATCTCAGCAAACAGGCTCTTTTCATGGAAGGCTTTTGAGATCAAACTTTATACACATTAAAGCAAATCAGTGCAGTTCTAGATCAACAACTGATGGTTTTCTTCACTTCTTAGATATTCAGACTGTTACAGAAGGATGCAGAGCAGGAATCYGAGATGAGAGCTGAGATCCAGACCATGAAGCAGGAGCTTGCCACCATCAGTATGATGGATGAGTTTGCCAGATATGCCCGGCTGGAAAGAAAGATTAACAAAATGACTGACAAGCTCAAAACACACGGTACAGTTCCATGTCTGCTCCCTTTTCCAACTGGAAAAAACATTTTCTGTTTCTGAAAAACAGAAGAATTTGTTCAGTTTTATCCTTCAAACTTTCCTTCCCCATCTTACCTATTTTCAGTGTTACCTTACAGTTTTTTTTTTTTTTTACTTCTTTAAAGTATTTGGAGAGCTTGTTTTTTTCTTTCCAGGAATTTCTTGGGTAATTATTTATTTTTTCACAGTGATGCTTATCATTGAATCAAGTTTTGAGTAAGTCAAGAAAGAAATTACAGTGTGGCAGTTTATTGCAGAAGGGTATTTTTAATATAGGTATAAGTCCTTTGGAAAGAGATTTTTAAACAGTGTAATGTCCTGCCTGGAAGAGGGAAATAYTAAAGAATTACTAAATTTATATAATTATAATACACTATTTTAAGTAACTAAACTATTTTTTTTCTTTAACAGTGAAAGCACGAACTGCCCAATTAGCCAAAATAAAGTGGGTTATTAATATTGTATTCTACATACTGCAGGTAAGTAAATACTTTGTTGTGGATACAGCTTAACCCAAATCCTCAGTAGTGTTGCAGTTCTCTCCTGGTTTATTGGCCAATGGCTCAGGGTTCCCCCAGCTCAGGAAGGATGTGGAGCTGCTGGAGAGAGCCCAGAGGAGGCAGCAGGATGGTCAGAGGGATGGAGCAGCTGTGCTGGGAGGAAAGGCTGGGAGAGCTGGGATTGTTCAGCCTGGACAGGAGAAGCTTTGGGCTGAGCTCAKTGTGGCCTTGCAGRGCCTGAAGGAGCCCACAAGAACCATGGAGAGAGACAATTTGCAAGGGCTGCAGGGACAGGAGCCAGGGAATGGCTTCCCAGTGCCAGAGGGCAGGGCCAGATGGGATATTGGGCAGGAATTGTTCCCTGGGAGGGTGGGCAGGCCCTGGCACAGGGTGCCCAGAGAAGCTGTGGCTGCCCCTGGATCCCTTTGAGTGCCCAAGGCCAGGCTGGACATTGGGGCTGGGAGCAGCCTGGGACAGTGGAGGTGTCCCTGCCATGGCAGGAGGTRGCACTGGATGATCTTTAAGGTCCCTTCCAGCCCAAACCATCCTGTGATTCCAATGACACAGAGCTTGTCAAACATGAAGATTTTCTGGAAATGGAAGGGAGATGCTGCTGATGAAATTTGGTAATTGAGGATAGGAGTTTTGAGTTTCATCTCAGCTTTTTCTTTCTGTTTTTGGGGTGACAAAGTAGGAGTTTGTCTCAGCTCTTCAGTCACTGGGTTTCTTTTATGTATGGCACCAAATCCACAGAAGTTCTGCTACATGTAAATATATCTCTGATTTTGAAAACAAAATATATTTCTGCTGAGGATGCAAATATCCACCTACAGCTGCCACTCTTTTCCCCATGGTGCCTCATCAGATTGTCTATGTAGTTCTGACTTGATGCCAGGGAATTTTCTGCTAACAAGGATGACAGTGGTCAGCCTGAAGATTTCCTTAGGGTACTGTTAAAGTGAATTGGATCCTTGGCAGGCAAAAATTAAAGCTTAAAAGAGTAATCAGAATTTTACAAGTGATGTGAATGTGTTTGACTCTGCTGGGTTGGAACCAGGGTCAGTATTTTCCRAGTTTTCACTGCTACCTACTAATATTGTGTATAAATTTAAGGTCATACTGAATTTAAGAATATTTGGAATTTGCTGAAGAGCAAGATAARTAGCAAAGAAACATTTCCCTTCCATTATAATTCATTGTTTACTGTTTCTAAATAGCACTGGGAATGTACTTTGATGTGTATTGTTACCCAAACTAATAAAAATGTCCATTCCAGGCTGCCCTGATGATCTCTCTGATCTGGAAGTACTATTCAGAGCCAGTCACGGTGCTTCCAAGCAAATGGTTGGCGCCCTTAGAGCGCCTGGTGGCCTTCCCTACAGGAGTGGCAGGTAAGGAAAAGGACATTCCCAAACCCCAGAACATCCATGGATTAACTGCAACKGCTTCTCTGGCTCCCAGAGCACAGGGAGGAGTTAAAATATTTRAGCAGCTCTTCCCTGTGTGCTCAGTTCTTGTTTTCTGAACTGATCATGAAATTTTGTCATTTTTATTTCCACACAAACAGATCATTGCCCTTGGCTGTATTGAATAGACCCTGGAGGAGATTTAAATTAGAAAATCAGAGAATCACCCAAAAGGGAGTTCCTTCACATGCTAGGAGTAGCTGTGGACTTACAAAACAACTGATTTCGATTTCGGAGAAATTTACTTCTTACCTCTCTCAAATCCTGAATTTAGCTTCAAGCAAAGTATTCTGTGACTTGCCAGGCTTTTAACTTCAGATATTTTCTCTTGGGTCTATSGCAGATGATTTTAGCTGTGGGGTGCACTCACCACATTTCAGTCCCTATTTGTGTATTTGGTACTCTTTTCCCAGGACAATCCCTATTTTTTGGGACCAGCATGAAGTTATCTCTCCACTTTTGAAGAGACCCTTTTGCACATAAAGAGATGTTCCTGTTGGCCTCATGAATTCKGAGTTTCCTTTTTTATACTTCTAATGTTGTTTTCAGCTGCACGGGTGCCCCAGGATTATTGATCCAACAACTTTGTGGCTTCTCTCTCTCTTCCAGGAGGTGTGGGAATTACCTGCTGGCTCGTGGTCTGCAATAAAGTTGTAGCTATCCTGCTGCACCCTTTCAGCTGAAGGAATCCCAGTAATCCACAGAGTCMTCAACTGCATTTGCATTGTCACTCTTTTAAATTAATTTAAAAGAAAAGGGACAATTGTCTTTCATGGGAYGAGGTTTGAGACAATCCTTGTTACTCCATTTGGATATCAGTCAGYTTTCCTTTTGATTTCTCTTTCCAGAGTTTGTCTTTCAGTTAGGAAAGAACAGCATTGCTGGATATAGAACTTCATTTTGGGTCTGCTCATGGCAGAACCATAAGGTTTTGTCATGGCCTGTTGTCACCAACATCTAMAAGTGTTGGATTTATGGTTTTAAATTGGAAATGCACTGGCATTAGGAATTTGGGAGTTTCTTTGCTGTAAAATGTGGTAGTTTCACCCCAAGGTRGGATCCTGTTTGGTGGTTCAAGAGGGCAGAGGGAGGTGGTTTGGTTGGCTGAGGGCAAAACAAAGTTTTCTTGTGATTTTTTTACCCCATAATTGGAATATTCTGTGTCTGTCCAAAAGAAAATAGATATGTTTAATCAATATTTTATCTCTTTAAGAGGCTCCTTCAGCTGCCAAAGGCAGGCTCCTGTCAGTAAAGCAGGAKACAGTGCTGTTCCTGCAGAGGTGATGCAGATTTAGCTTCCCACTCTGKAATTCCCACAGAGGAATGATCTGTTCTGTTATTCCAAGGCCTTTTTCTCCCTGCAGGAAGGAGGGGGGCATGACCCCTCCAAAATTAGCACTGCCTTTAAAAACCAGTTCAAAAGGTTGTGTTATGTTTTGTGTATATATGGATTAAATGTTTTGTTTGTTTGTTTGTTTGTTTTAATGTTAATTTAAAAAATGGAATTTTATATTAGGCATTGCATTTAGCCAACATGAAAAAAATACCAAGGAAAGAAAATGGAATTGAATGTTATTCTATAAATGTGATTTTATTAAGGAAATAAAGCTTTTCAACCCACATCAGGTTTTCTGATTTCTTTTTTAATGTTAACTGCAGTTTGCTTAAAAAACACGCCACAAACTCCAAAAAACCCCAAACAAACAAACAAACCCAAAATGACAAAACAAAGGCCAAACTCATCAAAATCCAACTCAAAACAGCCCCCCGTGTCTGTGCGTAAGGAAATACTGTTGGAATCAGCCAGACTCAATTATTTTCTAAACCTTTAAAACATTGCTACAAGCAGGTTCAACTCTGAATGTCTTTACCATTTTTAAAAGCTTTTGCAGTGTAATTTTGCAGTTTTTTAAAGTGCTACTGCCTTTTAAAATTAACAGAACACTCCTAATTTTTCCAAACTTCACATCAATTTAACGAGTGTTTCATTAATTACTGCGAGGAACAAAACACAATCCTCCTCCCCTCTCTTACATAACCTTAAACACAGGATTTTTAAAGGCTTTTTGGGGACTGGCTATGCCTGACTTCTCCAAAACAATGCTTTCCTCTTGCACATTCATCTCTGGATGTCAGCTGGGGAAGTTACCAGGCAAACTGCTTTGATAAGTTCTAACAGTGGGAAAGAATGAGGCTTTAGAGGTTTCTAATGCTCATGAAAACAATGCAAGAGCAAATTATTTTTATTAGGGGTGAATTCTGTAAGCTGTTTAGGGAGTGAAGGAACTAAGAAAGTGTTTTCTTTTATTGCATTGTTGGTCCTCAACCAATAGCGAACCTTATGAAAGCAGGGTGCTGATGTCAGCAAGCTGACAACCACTCAGCTTCCCAATTTTAATGCTTGGGAATGCAAAAACCTGGAATTTCCAAACAAGGACTAACTTTTACCTGATAACAGGTAAAAATGTTCAGGAACTCAGTACTACGCAATTTCATGGACACACACCAAGCACAGAACATTCTTTTGCGGCTGTTTTGGAAAAAATCATGTAGAGAAATTGCCAGTGCTTGTAAGATTGAATAAACATTTAATGAAGAGAAAACATTTGGTTTTTAACAATCTGTTTAAAATTTGTAAAAGTAAGCTGATGTGCTTAACAGAAATAATTTGTGTWTTCTCAGGAGTTTGTTTAACAGTGAACCCATCACGGAGTTTGGAATTTGCTTTGTGCCACCCTGCATCCCTCACTTCTCTCCATTCCTCTGGTGCTGCAACTCGAAGGGTTGTCTTCTTGCCAAGAGTCCTCTCCAAAGAGCTCTTTCAGCAGGTATTTTCTCCTCTCAGCAAGTGTCTGGTGGCTGCAGCTCTGCGCTCCAGAGGCTCCATCCTTCTGCCTGGCCAGGGGAACTTGACCAAAAGATGGTTCATAGACCCCAAAAGAAATTTTCCCTCTGGATACAGTGGGGTCGCTGCTGCTCTGGTCTGCCTGTTTCTGGCTGCACAGATCGCCTGCTTTGGATTTGGCAGGTGATGTGTGAAGCCCCTGATGCAAGTTCTCAGTGGTTTCTGAGAAGCTGTATTTTTTTTTCGGCCTAGCAGGGTCWTTGTCTGGCATTGCATTTTCACTCCTGATTTTCGTTTTTTGCTGCTCATCTGTTTTTTTCRCTTCTTTTTCAGCTTCTTCCCCTGAACCTCCCTCTTGATTGTTGTCTTTTGCTCTGTCRCTTTGGGCTTTTTGTTCAGTTTTCAACAGATTTTTCAACTCCTGTTTAAGAACTTCTGTCTGTTTTTCCATTTCTTTCATGAATTCTGAAACAATGTGTTCTTCCATCAGTAGTTTGCCCTCTGAAATATTGTGGGGTTTAAGAACATAGAGAGTTACAAAGCTTTAATGAGAGCAAGTATCACATCACTGCTTCAGTTGTTATTATTGATGGCATTTCAAATACCATTTATAATAAATAAAACAGCRTGGGGCAAGATGGAAGCAAGATCATTCTGCATTGAACCCAGGTTAATATCTATTTTTACTTTTTTCATGATGTTGAATTTAATTAAATGAATTTAGCTGCCATTATGTACAGTAATGGCTAAATAGAGTGCCAGAAAAGTAATGTACAATGCAACAGAGAAACCAGGTGAGATYTGAACTTTTAATTGTCACTTTCTGGCTTTTAAGTGGAACTTAGAGATSCACAGGATTTCTTTTCCCTTAATTCACAACAGAGTTGCTTGTGTGGAGCAGAACATACAGCAACTCTCTCACCTGGAGATGAGGTGGCTCCACTCAGTAGGAAAAGGAATGTGTGGACAGTAATGCCATTTTTCTGTGTAGGGGACAAGTTGTAATGGGGTCCTGTGCTCTGGAGAGACTCACAGAATACCCCCAAAATGAGACATAATCCAAGCTTAWAGGAGTAATAGGAAGTTGCAGGAACTAAAAAAGCCAAGCAAGGATTCAATAAAAGTTTGATATCAGTGAGAGAAACTCAGATTTCCTAGATTTTCAGGCACAGATTCACAGGGAACATCACAGGATCTGTGTTTCCTGTCAGTTTTAAAAGGCCATTYCCAAGACAAATGCTGACTTTGACTRTCTGGGGGCCTCTGGAAAGGCTGGAAGCTAAAAMGCAGAGTACAAACCTCAGGAGTTAACATATCCCAGGTTACAGGCTCCAGGATGTGACCTGGCATCCTATTTCACCTGTGTAAACCTCTGACTTTTAGATCTCCTGCCACTTGTGACATGTGGAATTATGGCACTCAGACTTTTGTTCATCCTATAAGACTTAATGTCAATAAGAAGGTTATTTCCACAAAGAAAACCTCTGAAGAGGGAACAACACTGGCTTTTTCTTTCCTCTTTTTTKCAGGATTTCTTCAGAATAAAGATGTTTACTGATGAATCCCTTGCATGTAACTTTTCCATGAGGACACAGTCAATGGCTAAAATAAAATCTCTTTACAGGGATCACTGTAATGAGGAGGTGCTCCCAGCCCTGCCATCTTTTCCTTTCCCAGCCATGGAAATACATATTCACATCAACTGTGATGAAGATTCCCAGCAATCACTTTGAGATCAGTGTTTGATTAGTGTGGATTAACAACTGTTAATTATCCTCTGACAGACAGAACACTAAATTTATACCAACCTGACCAGGGAGTGCTTTTGGAAGAAGAGCAGGATGGAGATGCCACATCCTGCAGAGCTGCTCTGCTGTCAGTGCAGCACCACCAGCAGCTGCATTTTCCAACCCTGTGATTTCAGTGACATTTCATACATCATTTGGAACTAGTTYCTGTCAGCCAGGTGCCAGTTAATGGCTATCAGACCCACATAAAATACCAGGACTTCTGGTAATTTGTGAAGATCAGGTGATTTTCTAGGAGAAATGTTAAACGTACCTTGGTGTGTCCTGGTAGAAGTTTCTGGTATTGGTATTTTCTTGGCTGGTTGCTTTTCTTTTTTACACTGGGCATCTGAGCATACTTCCTTTGCTTTAGCTTCTCCACCCTTATCTTCTGAAGATTTTTTCTCCTACAATTGGCAATTAGAGGTAAAATTAACGAGGGAGTGCTTTTTTAGTGCCTTTTAGAAGGACACAGACAATGCGATACTTGTGAAAAGATTAGTAATTTCTATTTGTAATAAGTAATTAGTAATTTCTATTGCTGTTCCATTCTTATTTTGCATCACAGCATTTTTTTCTGTACTGTAATTACATTCATGAAAATCCACATCCTAGGGAGTTAAGATGATGGATCAGGCTATCCAGGCATATTACTACAACTTAGAGAATAAGATACACCTTAGCCAAGAGTTTAAACAGGGGRTTGGATTTGGATCCAGATCTTTCCCACCTTTTTTAGCTGGATTGGATCTTTTTCTGTCTCCTGGTGCTGTGACAGCAGCAGTTCTCTAAAACTCTCTTTATCTACTTGTACTGATCTGTCTACTCTCAGACCTGTTGAATACRACAAGCATTAACAACACAGTAGTTTCTGGAATTAAATTGTTGATATTAAAAAAAAAGATATCTCTGAACACTGACAATACTGGTATGTGAACAAGAATTTAAACATTTTTTAAATGCATACCTTAATGCTCTTTAACAAAGAAATTACTTGTTCTGCCCAATCCATAAATGCTGAAACTGGACAGAAACAGCTACTTGGATTTTTGAGCCTTTTCATCTGTATATCAGTACATCCTAAACATGCTTATATACATAAATATATATAAAAGTATACTACAAAGTCCTGTTCAGGTAGAACATGTCAAATCAAGTGTGTGAATMTCCCAGAGCCCACATGGGCTTAATTTTTGGTCCCATTCTAATGTAAATTTAAGGGGTCTGCTATAAAGCCTCCAAGTTCAGTTTCCTAAATTTGGATCTTTACGGAACCCAACTCATCATGGGAAATGTTTAACACTGTTTGAAAATTGATGCACTTTGGAAGAGATTCCAATAAAGTGATTGAATAAGATGTTTAAAGAAATAGCTGGGTATGAGATAGAGAGGATGAGTATATTGTTTCTTCATTTTTGGAATAATTTTGACATGACTACAACAGCTGAGAAAGTTGCTACCACCATGCAGCAAAAACGGGATYTTACCCATATCCACATTGGAGTTTTGAGCTCAGAAATCGAAGGATAAAATGCATAGAAGTGGTGGCCTGCCAGCGTTCGCAGCTGGATGGTGAAAGGGATGCTGGTGACCGGTCTGGGATGGCTCAGATGCTGCGGGGGGAATGGGCTCGCCCAATGCTGCTCCAGGAGCTTTTCCAGCCGGGAGCAGCGGAGCGTTCCCCGGGATCGGGACTAGGGGGCGCTGCACCCCCAGGTGAGCCCTGCCCCCTGCCCGCGCTTCGCTCCCAGCAACAGCTCCTGCAATTCATGGCTCCATCCAGTGAATCCATTTATTCACCTGCACAGAGCTTTCTGACCAYCTAAGGAAGCCTCCTTCCAGCCATTTATCAGCAGTGTTAAAAAAGCCCAACCCCAAATTCCAGTTTTAGTTTCCTGCCTGCTGGTTAAAAACTTTYGCAAACATCAAGCAGAAAATACTGGCCTGAAGATGCAGCTTTTTAGAAATCTGCTGAAGAAAAATTCAAGTCAAGAGTGAAAAGGAAAACAAATATTCAGTAATTCCAGCTCTGTGTTTCCAAATCCATTAACTGGTAGAGAATGAATCCTTTATTAGCCAGAAATTCCAGAGGATCAAGCAAATTTGCTTGGAAGCTTTTCATTACAAAATATCACATCTCTCTCCAACTAAGCCCCCTTATCTTACTTAAGGGAAAGAAGAATTTAAACAATAAACAGTGATTTAAGTACCACAATTTAGTAGCAATACTGTACAAGGCCACATGTGAGTAAAATAAAAAATAAAAAGGTGCTTGTTATGTGGTATAACTAAAACTGGGATTCAGAGCTTCATAAAAAATGTGTCCGASTTGGGATGAGAACCAGGAATATGTTTTTTTCTTAATTTAACACCCTGAATAACCAGTCTTTTCCCTGTAGTTCACTGGTGGCTAAGGCAGAGTTAATGGGTTTGYAAGGGCAATGAAGAGAAAAGAAATRACCAATTGAATGTGRTAMRATTTTGTACTGCTGCCATAATTTGARGAATTCTGTGGGCATGTGCAATATTTCCAGTGGACAGGTTTGCTAAGGGCACTTTGATACCCATGTGAAGGTAGTCCTGATTTCTCCTTCAGTTTAGGAGCAGGAATATCTGATCAGTGTTTTAARGAAGTGCTTCACCCAGGGAAGTCGATGTTCAGATAATTCAATCCCAAATTCTGCGTATAGTTGAGGCAGACAATCTTAAACAGCATTGGTTGGCTTTAATCAGCTGAATCCAACTCCAGGCAGCTGCCCTTGTAATTTTGGATAAAGACTGTGTGTAATATGTATTTCTCCCCAATATCTGTCTCAGTATCCATGTGAAAGAAATACATTTTACTAAAGAGCTCTTTCTTCCCTGATAGAACTAGATTTGTATTGTTCTCTTCTATCATTCAAGCCTTTAAATTTTCTAAACCTTTTCAGCCCATATACAAGCACTATTTTGCCATTTAATTTGGAATGTGCCTCCCAGTTCTAAACCAGTGGARGTGTCACTTAACTAAACAACAACAAAAAAAAGATAATTAAAGACATACTTTGKTCATTAGGTATCCAATCAATTCTGTCCCTCAGGGCCTTAGGCATCCGATTTGCATAAATATTCTTTATGTAAAGTTGCCGATCCTTTTCCTAAGGAGAAATAAACACTATTAAACTTCTGATAGYAATATAGTATATAAGCTTCTYAATAGTAATTAAGAATTACTTCTTRTCAACTTAGTTTTCCCATGCTGGGTGAAGCTCATCAGGGATTTCACGTGTTGCCAGGCCCATGTGGTGGCTTTGTCATTTACATTTTTTTCAGTGTAAATATTTTTTCCTTAAATTCCTGTTTTTTGTTAATTTTTTAAAAATTCCTTTACTTAGCGCCCTTTTCATGCTCTCAGTTGTTTCACAACCTGTTCCTCTGATGGTGACACAAACTCCAGAGGGCACATTTTGACATTCATTTTGCAAGATTCCTCTTTCCTCAATGAAAGTCTTCCTTAAACACAGAAGAAAGAACTCAGTAGCACTCTCACCACACCAATTTTCAGTGGGAAAAAACAGGAGCTTCATTTACTTGGGGAAATTACAGGTTATTATGAAARTGGAATGATCTGAAATAAGACAGGTTCCCAAAACTATAAATGTGTAAGAAAAAACTCTGTTCTGGCACAGAAATAAGGTTGATAACTGTGTCTTGTCTTCTTTGTGGTAAAACAATAAAAAACTTTGTGGATCTACATAGAAAGTTCAGAGACCTGGACACACAGAGAAATGTGGAAAATAGAGGAAACAGAATATTTTAGAGAAGTGTTAAGGTGAGAACTCTACTTTAGAGCAATTTGCATTTGGGGACAGTTTTATATTAGTGTTCCTGAGATGATAATTATTCCCATCTCCCAGATTTCTACATCTAGGAGGTGATCAGATTCTGACAGGGAAATAGCACTGCCAAGTACCAGGAGAACACTTCTGCACCTGCTACATAAGGAAGAGGGATAAACAACACCCTGTGCAGAAATCCAAACCTCCACAAATCCTCAGAACTGCCTGTTCTGCCCTTCATAATAGCTGGGAAAACTCCCCTTAACATCTTGCACAGACATTTGATTCCATTTAGGAAGGGAAAGCTCTCCTAAAAGTGGGATCTCCCCTCAAAGTGGGATCACCTTGACACAGAAATAAATAAATAAGTGTATTTCAACTGTGTTACAAACAGAATTATGAAAAAGCCACAAGGGATTTCAGGTTTTCTGGAATATGTACTGGTTTTCTTCATTACAAGTCATATGACATCCCATTCCTGGCAGTTTTGTGTTTATTTCTATTTAGTTTTCCTATATGTTTTATAAGCATTACAGAAAATGCGGAACTTGACCTATTTGTCCCAAAAAAAATTGTCTAAGAATCAAACTGGAATTTGAACAAACTCTTGAAAAGTTTCCATAAGTAATTTTGTTAAATTTTAGTTTTGCATGTTGTAATATTTGCCTCATTTTGATTTATTTCTGTAACAGAGCTCATTTAAATTAAATAGATTAATATATTTGACCCTGATCTAGCAAAATGGTAACACCTTGATGTGGATTTTTGKTCAATTCTGATGCCTTAATCTCTGTTCCAATTTGTTATTGAACTACTTCTAACAAATAGACCCTACAATAATGCCATAATGACATTTTTGGCTTCATAGTAGACCACAAAATCAAGCAGGAAACAAAATTCCATTAGTAAATAATATAAAAGAAGCAAAAAGAATAGGTAACATTAAATATCTAAATATTCTTGTAGAAACAGAAACCTGGAATACCTTAATTTTTTGGTGAACCGAGTTAATTTCCATGATCAAGTTCTTTGTGATTATCCCAGCTTCCAGAAGTTTTTTACTCTCRCTTGCCAGCTGATGATTGAAGATGCTGTTGTTCAGCTTCAGCTGCTTTTCCAGATTCTTAAAAAAGTGGCAGATTTTACCATACAAATGTACTCATTGTGACAGTTGACAAATTTCACTTCTTGACAGATTTAAGAAATAAGTACTAATATAAGSACATTTAAGCTCATAATTATATCTAATAACAGTTATTATCTCCTAATTATAAACAATATGATAAATTATATTGTAAAGAATACATGAAATGATAATGAAGTACCTGAAAAATTACTTTCAAAAGAAGAAAAAAGATGTTTAAAACCTATTTTACTAAACAAAATAAAAACTTTTTGCATTCAACCATAAACATGACATTACCATTTTGACGGGTTAATAAATACAACCACCTTTGAGAAATGTTAAGGCTTTCTATACACAGAGACCTATGAACTGTGGCAGAATAAGGAGGCTTAGTGTTAATGAAAACTTGGTAATTGATTGATAATTCTTTATCTTCAGAACTCAGTGCCATGCACTGAAATTCTAGCTCCTAAAACTGAAAGGTGGACGCCCAACCCCAGCTTTTTATAGCTGCTCACTAGGATTTCTGGAAACAGAAAGTTTTTTAAAGGATCTGAATTCAGCTGTTAGTATTTACAATTTCTCTTAAGATTTCCTGGCTCTTTTTTTTTTTTTTTTTTTTTTTTTTTTTTTTTTTTTTTTTTTTAATTCTATGCATAACAGACCTGATAGAAAATGTAAATTAATTCCTGGAGGACAACGGAAATTTCACTCTTCCAGTTTTGTATTAAAAACTGTGTCCCTGTCTTTTTTGTTCCAGGCTCAGTGAGAGTAAAGAGACATGAGATATTAAAAGGAGATTAATTATCTCCTGTTAAWCTTCCTTACACTCAAGAAAGCACTGGACTAAACAGCATCCAGGATTATATCAGAATCATTCATGTGACAGCAGACAGCCAAAATTTTTCCACTATTCTTGCACCAAAACCTCTCTTGCTCAGTGATCCTTGTGTTTCCCTCCCAATTTAAGATATTCTACAGTCCTACATCCACAAATGCAATAATATGCAGGCATTACCAGTATCCTCTCATCCTTTGCTTCCAACACTTTGTTAAGAACTGACAATCTATGATTCAGTTCCTCCCTCTCTGCAAGAGCTTTGTCTTCTGACAGCACAGCCAAGGTCTTCAAATCCCCTTTAGTTTTCCGCAGCTCTGCTTCAACTCTTTTGAGCTCCCTGGCTGTCTTTTTCTCAGCCTCCTGAGACATCTTCAAGAGTTTTCTTAAACCTTTCAACTCATTCCGGTGACCTGCTAGAAGCTCCTGCAAGTGGCTCTCGGCGTTGTTGTATCTGTCGATGGCCTTCGCGTGCCGGCGGTTGAGCTCCTTCAAAGCCTGGTTTTCCAAGCTCGATGCTTCRATTTTTCTTTGCAAGTCAAAGATTTCATTCTTCAGCTCTTTAATTTTGTGGAGCCTCGCTGATGATATTCGCTGAGCCGTGGCGTTTTTGTCCTGGTAAACCACACCACTCTGCAGGGTTAAAAATGAGGAATTCAAACAGGGGGTTTTGGCAGCTGGCAATTTTCTTCCTCCTGCACAGAGATCAGAGAAAAATTGATAGAGAGCAATTATTTGAGACAAGTCAATCACTGTGTGCCTTTTCTGCTCACATAAACTCCTAATTAACTATTACTCCTAAAGTGCTCATCCARCTACATAACTGTGGTTTCTTTACAAAATGTCCCAAAATTCCCCTGGTCTAKGGTAAGGTTCCCTGCCTGTGGCAGGGGGYTGGAACAAAATCATCATTAAGATCCCTTCCAGCCTAAACCATTCYAGGATTGTGTGATTCAAATATTTCATAGATAAATGCATTAAATATTTTATATCTCTGTGTATTTCTGTGGCTGCAGTGGACCACAGCTAGCAGCCAAYGGAAATAAATGGAAATAAATCAATGGAAATCAATTTTCTCCCTGTAAATCATGCACTTCACTAATGTAGCCACGATCTGATGAACCAAATTCAACCCATCAGATTCTACACCTTGAATAGGTGCATGATAAAAAAACACCAAACAACAGAGTATTTTCAGTGAAAGAATATGAGTGAGAGGGGGGAAGAGAGAGAGATTCYCCCTGGTATTTGAAACATAATTTATTATATCCTTTCACTGAAAAACTGTTGTCCCTGTCTTCCTAATTATTGACAAAAAATGCCAAAGAAAAGGAACAATGACATTTTTAACAGTCTCATGTTACCAGAAAACAATTTACCTTTTTTATCACCTTGGACAATGGRACACTGACCACATCTCTTTTTTTCCTTTTTTGCCTTGTCCTTTTTCTGTGTTTCCTTCTCTTCGGTTCCTGGTGTTTCTAAAGCTTTACCTCCTTTGACTCTTTCAGGGTCAGCCATTGACAAAATTCTTGGAATCATCTCTGTGAGAATGTTCACTTGTGTCTTCTCTAATGGGTCACTATGCTACCTGTGATTTTATAGTATTTCATGTCATAAAAATATCATTTTGTCACAATAATTTTTTCAAGAATCAGACAGCAAATCAGATCACCAAATTAATTTATCCCTTAAAAGAGCATAAATCCTACATTAGCTGCCATGTTAATACTACAGGAAGAGGATCCAGGAGAACTTAAAGCTATTTTAATATGCTTGTAAAAAGCATTTATTTACCATAATATAAATAATTCTAACTAATTTTCTCTTTGTGAATAACTGNTTTTTTTTTTTTTTTTCCTTTTTTCCCCCTTTTTTTTCTTTTATTTTCCTTACTAAGGCTACTGGAGAGTACAAACAAGGATCAGTTTATTCTCCTGGCAGAATTACTTAAACACTGCTGTTCTGGTAAAAATTACTGATTGGGTATAGCTCAATCCATTCAATTTCTTTTTCTATCCTGTTCCAATCCACATCAGGTGAGAAGACAGAAGCAAGTTTTGCCTTAACACACATTTTTGGAAAGGACTTAGGTTCTAAACACAATCCAAAGTGAGATTAAAACAAAAAGGAGGTTAAATGTTTGGATCCAAAGAAATAATGCAACTTTTTTTTTTTTTTTTTTTTTTTTCATAAAAGAGGGAAAAAATAGAAAAGTAGGAAAATAAATGCTTTTGAAAGTGGCAAAGTCATGTCCACCTCATAGCAACAATAGGGCCATGGAGAAATTAATCTTTGCTCCCTTAAAATTTATTGGCTGCTCCTGGGGATCCAGGCAAAGTTCATCTGATTAATCAAAAATTTATTCCTTGCTCCTCTGATGTATCAACTGCAAGGTTTTTTWATGCCCTTCAAACATGGTGCCTCATTTTCTAAAATGAAACAATTAGAAGCTTCAACTCTCAAACTCAGTCTTGGAACAGGCAATGGAGAAACTTTCCTTATTTTTCACTCCTTCCCTACAGACTGCTCAGACCATTTCATAGGCAAAGAATTTTACCCAGAAGTAGAGTAAGTTGTATATTTTGAGGGTCTAAAAGGAGCACAGAAAGGAATTTGAGGGGGGTTAAAATAATGTTTCAGTTCACATGGATTTTAATAGGTACCCTTCTCTAACAAAATATGAAACTATTTACTTAGGACTTTCTAAATCCTTTGTTGGCATTTTTGCTTTGTGCTGGCATTCCATTTTAAATTAAATTAAATAAAATTTCTTAAAGGGGAGAGGGGAATCACATAGCTCCCAAAGAAAATTAAAAATAGTAATTCAGGATTGCTCAGAACATTTTAGTCTGAATCAAAATGGTTTCATTACTCTTAATTCCTTTGCATGAACAATTTTTCCTTGTGGAATACTGAGGAAGCTACAATCTGAGACAGTGCAATAACCTGCAAGAGATGAGAAATCATATTTTGAGCATTAGCAAAGCCTAGCTTGGTACATAGATCTGTATTTGTGTTTAAAGTTGATTGGGCACTGCCAACACTTTCTAGGCAAATTGGCTTTAAAGCAAATTACCCTAAATTAAAACTACTGCCTTAATTTGTTTTGATGAGAAGTGTGGTCTCATCCAGAGCAGATGTTGAGAAGTAAATAAAGTAGAGAAGAAGACAGGAAAACCAAAAGTGAAGGACAAGAAACAGAGAAATTAAATGAAAGATATTGCAATAGAATTAAAAAGGCAGTAGCTGAAGCTGTGCTGGAATGGGCAAACTCCAGGAGAATTTGTCTTGAAAA